AAAAAGGATCGGCGTCGTCGCCCTCAATCATTTCCTCATAGAGCCAAAGCCCCGCATGTTGCGCTTGAAATGCGCCATGACACCAATGTCGAGCGGCTGGCAGAAGGACGTGGCATTCGGCGGGAGTGGACAGAGGTGAGAACCAAGCTCTTCTTGGACGATCTTGTACGACTCATCTGACACATGTGACTCAAAGTTGTCCAGGATAACGACCGAAGCTTCCTCAATGTGGTCGTGAAGGACGTTGCTGAGGTAAGACTTCTAGCTTTTCTTGCATATCGTTGGGCGTTGTCTCGAGAATCCATGACGTTTGGCAAAGCGTCGGAGCATCTGCTGGATGGACTTGTAGCCGGACCCGGGACGTTTAGTTTGGAGGTAAGCCATGAGCCAGTCTCGCTAGTTCCGTTTGATCCATGTTATTAGGTGGAGCATTGAAAGAGTGCGCTCCTCATCACGTAACTCATTGATGAACGCGACAAGGCCAGGGGGGTCAGGGAATTCCTCGTGACGTACCACCAGGTTAGAGTTTCATTCTCTTTTTGTTTCCATCGTCAGCGAGTAATTCGAAGCGTTTTGTGCCCCAATTCCGAATTGTTCTGCGGGGAACCCCGAGTAGAGTGGCAACCTTGTAGTCTGACATTGACTCAAGAAGCCCCACGGCTTCGAGTTTGGTTGATATCGGATACGCGGCGCGGGGCATTATTTGGACTACCAAAATTATTAGCTGACTTCATTTTTTGAAGTGAAAAGGAGCGGGAGAATATTATTGTAGCCAATTGGAAGAAGATATTTCTGAAGTGTTTTCTATTGGACAATATTATGTCGTAACTTCGATAGGCCTTGCATTCGGTCGTTCCCTGTTTTCCGCTGGCGTCTCTTCTATCTTCGGTTTGACCACCAACATGTTGTCGATGTTCTCAGTCACGTATCCGAATGCCAAAATCAAACTTGCTTGGATCTTGTAAAGTTCTTCCAAAACGTACTTAATCCGATGACTGTTGGATTTGACGTTGGTTTGCTCCAAATCGCGTCTGAACCGCTCCGCTCGTTCACGGGTATATTGCTTGGAGCTTCTCAATCAAACTTTCTCGAATCGAATCCAAGTTGTCACTTCCTATTGGCTCAAACAGTATATTGAACTAGACGACGCTTTCGCGTGTAGACAGCCTTTACGCTTTACACTTCTTTGCTCCCTTGAGACAACCTTGCATTCCGCCGCCGCCGTTTGTTCCGCCTTCTTGAAATCTTCTGGTTCCATGCCTTTTTCTTATCCATGCGTGGCTCCGGTGCACGGAGGAATCACTAGTTCAACACTGGTCAATTTGAAAGGTCGCGTTGAACCTTTGCTTAACCTAGTTAGAGTACCCTCACAACCTTCAAGAAAGTTGGAGTCCTTGATTGAACCAAGACATGCTACCAACTGTAGTGTTGTAGGCACAGAGGATATTCAAAAGTGCATAGATTGCCGTGATATCCTGCTCTAACGGTCCTACCTAACGTGGCTTCGCTAACGGTGTCTCAACGGATATTCTTCGTACGACAATCACTACAGCCTAAGTCGACAAACCAACTCATTTTCATTCTTGACTTCGTTACATATACTAATCTGGTCCGAAATGTTTGTCACATTGTCTTTTCGATTGGCAGGATTTTTCTAATTTTGGAATTTTGGCTGTATTATCGATCTGATTGGTGCAATCGAAAGCGCAAGATAAGCTCTTTGATTGGCAGTTTTCAGAACAAACCAATTCGTTGTACTTCTCAAGATATAGACCACCAAAAAGGGGGGAGCCAAAGCAGCTCAACATTTTGACCTGTCACTCATTGATTTTTGAATTTCCACCCATTTAAGACACACACACGCATCCCGCGAGCCCTAT